ATATATATATATATGTGTCTCGGTCAATGGCATTTTGGATTGCAACCAGAGTTTTGATTTTCTGTTGTTTTGATTGCAACCAGAGTTCTTGACTAACATTAAGTACCATGGTAACGTACCTCAAAGGAGTCGAAGCGACCTGGACATCTTTTCTCCTACTACCAATCATTTGCATCTTCTTCTACCCATCTCTTTCTATTTCCAGATGTCGCCATTTTGTTCGCCTAGAAAATCACTCAGACTGCTTTTTGTCTCCGCAACCCTCATAGGCTTGGTGATGTTGCTCAGGTTCATGATAGGGAGTTGCCCAGATGGTCTCTGTGCGACACCCACGTGACGAAGCACTGACATAGACGCTCGTCCAACCCCTTGCGCTATCACCAAACTCATCACACTGCCACAAAACAAATTGCCAACTCCACTTGTTCGTCGCGACCATCTGGCGCAATCACTCGCATACGGAGGTCTGCGGAACGGGAAGAAATGTGATTGGCCCGACAAGATGCCAAGTATAGTCCGGGGTTCACCTTGCGCCCTCTTCGAAACGGCTACCTCGGCTTTACTACACTACCACCAAGATGCCGTCTTAGCAGCAAACTAAATTCGTACCAAGAAGTGGTACGTTTGCTGCGCCAACGCCTAGATCAAGAGCTCCAAGATGGAAGCGTGAATGACTTCGTAGTAGGTTGCACCTGCCTCATCCTTTTGCTCTGTTACTTTCACGGCCTCCTTTATTCTCTGCGCTCCTTCACAAGATTCATAATCTCCTCATCTCAATGGCACTGTAGTTATGCAGAAACCTAGTCTCCTAATGCGTCATCATAGGTCATACTCCTTCCGCCGACTTCCACGATCTTCTGCATTTCGCATACTCGTCCTTCTTTATGTCCTTCTGGATTCACTACACTGCCTTTCCTTATACAGATACCAAACAGCGACAATCATTGCCCCGCCCCCACCTCGCAACACGAAGCGCGTATACATAGCCTCCCAGCACTGGAATAATGCGCGACTGCTCCGAGAACATTGGAACAACGCGCTGGTAGCGTTGGTACAAGAACTAGGCATTGAGAACGTGTTCGTATCGATATACGAAAGTGGTAGCTATGATGATAGCAAGGCTGTGCTAGGAGAATTGGACACGGTGCTGGAAGGCCTACAAGTCAGGAGGTCGATACAACTGTCCGAAACATCACACGCGGACGAGATTGCACAGCAGCCGACGGAACATGGATGGGTCAAGGCACCGGACGGGAGGGATTACAAGCGGCGTATACCATTTCTAGCGAACATACGAAATCGTGTCTTCCAACCCTTGGAACGTCTGACAGCTGAAGGCGAGCACTTCGATACCATCCTGTTTCTCAACGACGTGGTGTTTACACCCCAAGATGTTCTGAGATTGTTGGATACAAACGGCGGAAAATACGCGGCAGCTTGCTCGATCGACTTCAAGAAGCCGCCGCAATTCTACGATACATTCGCACTCCGAGACTCGAGCGGCCACGAGGCGGTCGTACAAACCTGGCCTTATTTCAGGTCATACATCTCAAGGCATGCAGCTGAAAGATATTCGCCAGTACCCGTCGGCTCTTGTTGGAACGGAATGGGTGAGGATCCTCTTCTCGCATACCCCAACTTTACTAACGAGCGCCAGTTGCCATGCCCATCGAACCTTTCGTCGCGAGCCCTCCCCTACGCTTTCGTGGCATCCCCGATTCCCTCGCGTCATCACATGTCGAAGCATCTGAATGCTGCCTGATACACGCGGATAATCCTCTTTCCCTGACTCAAGGCGTCTTCCTCAACTCCAACGTCAGAGTCGGTTACAACGGTTCCTCGTACGATGCCCTACACTCGCCGGATGCCATACTGTCTCCCTTCCAAATCTTCCAGTCAGTATGGTGGAGTCGTATCATAAGACTGATCACAACTCCTCTGTTCAAGGAACGAATTGTACGTACGAGGTTAGGAAAATGGATTGCAGAGACAAACAGCTGGGAGCGCGGCGACTTTTGTCTTGTCAATGAAATGCAGGTCCTCGTTGAAACTGGGTGGAAACACGTGTGAATGTGACGTTAAAATAAAAGTTCTATTCCGTGAACATTTCTGCCGATATTCGTATGTGCTGATTGCCATGAAGCTTCGCAAATTGCGTAAAGTGGTAACATAGACGTTTCATGCGTCCTCAAGAAGGATAGGATGAAGCATCTCTATTCTTTAGATGTGCGAGATTTAGCTCCAAGAACAAGAAGAAGAGGCGGCTTCGGCATGAACTGAAATGCGTTAATAATAACTTGATATGCTTCTTCACGCTCATACGCAGATTCTTGTATAAAGATACTCAAGACTTGAAGCGTAATACGGCTTAATCTATGTCGCGACAGACTGCTATCTTCCAGGTGTCTGGTTGGTCTTGATTCGTTGTATTAGCGGCTAAGTTGAGGCCCGCAAGAAGTTGTCCTAGCTCCGGGACATCGAAACATGCTACAACTGCGCCATGCTTGCACATATGACTAGAACTGCTCTTGCATGTAGGAGATGCAGATGTAGCGGGTATTTACGGCATGTAGATGCTGCAATGTAAATAGGCAACTACACAAGGCAACAATTGTGTTACAGCAGCTCCCCGCTCTTCAAGATCTTTGGGTGTAGTTGCACATGCTCTACGTACACGCTCTATGCACGCCACGCCTACGGAAATACTAGGAGAAAGAGATTTGATGGAAGGAGCGAGAAGACAACACGTTGAGCATGGATCTCCGAAGTCTTGCAAAGACGTACGAGCAGAGTTTTGAGCACTTGTAGATGGTGCTGCCGTTGCCGTGAAATGCGGTGGTGTGGGCTTCGTGGTTGGGGGAGAAGGCGCGGCCACCAGGACAGAAGGCACAGAGCTACCAACTAGCGACACCGCAAACATCAGTGCGAATGAACATGACAACAGCAAAACACGCTGACTGGGCGCGTTGCGAAGGACTACGCCAGTCTAGAGACTGCGACAGGCACAGTATGGGAAGACGAGCAAAGGAGTGGATTCTCTCTTGTTCGTCGGACAAGAGTCTGCATCATGAGCACACGCTTGGTGAATCTGTAAACGTTTGAGGCTGGATATGAGTACTTGGCTCACATGCTGCTACGAGCGGAAGAACTGCTTATGTCCACTCTCCGCGCCATCATAAGGCATAGCGGGTTTCGGAAGCCCTCAGGATGTGTAAATGCACCTGTGAAGCGGACCGTAGCGCTGTAAAATGAAGCACAGACTCAAACATATGGAAATCGATGGGATGTTGATGGAAAGGCGACATTCAAGCCATTTAACGACGTTGGAAGAGCACTGACATAAGCTTCGGCTTTTCCCTTTGAGGCATGGCTTCCGAGTTCATGAAGTCGCCATCTGGAACTCTATCTCATCTTTCTTCATACACCCTCAAGGGGTTCAACGATCAACAGCAGTTTGACAATGTACTTTGGAAGTACTTTATGTATTCTTCGCTATGTTGTTCCCATCCATGAATTTGCTCGTGGGGCATGGGCAGGTAATGACGTACCCGCCCCAGTCGCAAAGCAGAATTTTGTCTACACATCTCGGATATCTGACTCCGAGAGCATTTCACTAAGTATGAGAGGTCTCATATACTGTTTGAACATATATTCGACAGTATCTTATGGGAGTAGCAAGCGGATTGAGTCTCCCAGAATAATGCTCTACAGGTATGGTACACGATTCAAACTGCAGGAAAGCTCAAGAAGGCAATGAACATACCTTTCTGCAGCTATATAAGTAGCGGACCAACTGCAGATAGCCTGCGACATAGTCCTATTGTTGTTGATTTTCGGACATTGGTACGACGATATGGCGCCAGCGTAGACAGAGCCTTTGCAAACACGCAGTTCCTCTCGTTTGCCTCGACACCGACTCCGTCAATTTCCACTCTGCACACTTTCAGGAAGTCATAATACCGTAAATCTGCCACTGCGCTCCCTGATCCAACACACAGCACTTATCAGCAAGCTGCGACTCGAACACTATGTCACAACCACCTTGGACTCTTCCGGTGACAACAAGCTCCGAGTCGAGCAGCATACCACAATCTCCCGCAACTCCTCCGCGACCAGCAAGCAACGAATCGGACAACGTGTCAAAACCGCCCGCAACTGTTATCCCTGCATACAGTTTCCCGTCAGTCAAAGCGCGCCGTAAATTCGTGGAAACGCATACAGAACTCATAGTCGAGACGATGAAGAGCGGCAACATGGAACTGCTCGTCCACAGAGGGCCACTCGTTCAGATGGCATCAGCGTTCATTTATGGAATTCAGGAGAACAACGCCAGTCACTATCTCCAGGCCCCGGACATTGACGACCCCGAAACCTTGACCGAAGCTTATTTCACGCTCTGGGCACATACATCATGGGGCAGAAACGAGATCATGCCGTGGAGCGTTTTCCATAGAAATGTTTACGATGCCTTCGAAGCCCCACGCTTTCTCCGCGAGCTGATCACCAGAGGCACTCGATTGTGTTGGGAGTGGACTACCGGGCGAGGTCTGAGGCTCACGACTGATCAGAGGATAACAATGGCACTGCTTCGATCAGAGGACCTAATGTTGTGTGCTATATCAGCACAGAACATGGTAGATGACATTTTCTTCTCCGTCCACAATCATGAACTCTCCTGGCATGATCTGAAGTCTATAAAGGAACTCCTCAGCTTCCGCGAGAATGATTTCGACCAGAAGTTCCCTACCATCAGGCAATGTCCACGTCGAGCCTGGTTCACTCTACCACCTGGCCAAGAAAACAAGGTTTTCAGGCCATGGTACGACTTTGGGCAGATTGGATACCACGATATCCCCGACTGGCCTGCAAGCTCGAACATGCCTTCACGGTTGGTGATAGATCTACCTGCTAAGATCATGTTAATGATTCTTGAAAAGGTCTTCAAGATCAATGGAGACATCCATGTCGTTTTTGATCGATTCGAGAATGAGCATATTGCACTAGTGGAGAGGGAGCGAAGATTGCAGGAGCACCCATTTGGGGTTCACGGACAGAGACTTCCTTATGGGAACTACTGGAAGTTGCCGAGTATGAGGCACTTCTTTGCATTTGGTATCACCAGTAGAGGTAACTGGCTCATGATGAAGGAAATGTTCTATAAGAAGAACAAATTCATCATACATGAGGACTAGTTGGATAGCGCTCTCCACCGGTGTCACTGAAAGCAAACGGGTGTCTTATATTCGTGCCAGGCAGATACATAGATCGTGAAAGTGCGGCGGTGTCGAGGTGGGAATTTGAGTGAGCCTCCTGGGATATGTATAGAAGATAGAAATTGGAGATGCATTGACCATTGGACGTATACCACACTACTGCATTCATGTACAGATTTCACACAGATACCCTATCAGCGACCTGGAGCCAGTACTTGCACCTCTCCTCCAACATGCTAATCCCACCTTGTCGTAGCCCACTCGATGTGACCAAGAACTGTTTGCCCTCCTCAACATCTGGTACGCCAGCAACAGTGGCATTAGTGACCTTGTGGGCGTTTGGATCCCCGGTTTGGATGAAGGAAGCCATGGCACCAGCATAACCTTGGTAAGTCAAAGCATCTGTCTGCTGTATTGAGCCGATTGTGTTCCACTAATTAAAGTCAGTATGCTGAGTGGATATGATGTAGTCAGGTAGCAATGAACGTACGTATTGAACATCACTCGCGTGTTTTGCGGGCGAAATGGTATACTCAATCAACCACCCATCCTCTGCCTTCTTCGATAACCAATACGAAGGACATGCCAGAACGAGGTCTCGGTATAGCAAGCCAGCGCGAATATATGTCGTATTCCAGCTGATTTCCTCCGCGGTGCCTGTCGCAGGATACATCATCTTTACGTTGTCCAGGTCCTGCTGCGTAAATCCCGGTAGGAAGCCCCTCAGCCAAGCATCGAAAGAAGCAGCTGAGGAGTTGAACCCATCGCTTCCTGTCTTGGCGTTTTGGAAACTAGGAGGAATGAAGTTTTCGCCTTCGTGCAGGTTGTAGCTTGTCATGATCGTCTCAGCGTTCAGTTTTCCCGTGCTGACAACGCTACTCAGCGGCTCCGTGAGAAATTTGTCATCGACAACTGGACCATAGGTAAAGGAAGCAGTGGTATACTGCTGACTAGTACTCAAAGCCAATGCGCTATCCCTTAGCTTCTGTACATCCACCTCCTTCAAACACTTGATCTCATCTGCAGCACCCGTGCAACCAACATCCTGTAACGTCTGCTGATATAAGTCTTCAGCCCACTCACTATCGTACCGGTATGTCTTTGGCCAGAAGGGGCTACTGGCCATGGCTTTGGTGAACAACTTCTTCCCACGGTTACCAGTAGCAATTGTCTGCGCAACGACACTGCCACCACCTGCCGATTGTCCCCATATAGTAACATTCCGCTTGTCGCCGCCGAAGTGGTGAATGTACTTCTGTATCCACTGCAGCGCAGCCTGCTGATCTAGTAACCCAGGGTTGAGATCGACATCCGGGTGTTCTGCGATTTTTGAACCGGGCAAGAAGCCAAAAACGTTGGTGCGGTAGTTCGAGTACACAACTACATAGTCGTTCCTGTCATCGACGTCCAAGACCGGATAGCCGGAAGGCGGGATATTGAAGCTGGCGCTTCCTCGGATGAAACCGCCGCCGTAAAACGTTAACAACACGGGCCTTAGATCTTGCTTCTTCTTCTCCCAAGGCCGCGAGTATACACCTAGGTACAAACAATCTTCTGAGCCATTTACTGTGCGTTGCGGACACATGTCGAAAGCCTGGTCGGTGTCGTACGTGCCATTGGTGATACGTAGTGGTGGCTGAGGGGCGCGGAACCGGTTCTCTCCTGCTGTGGATGCTGCAAAGGGAATCTTGCGGTAGTATGTTATGTTGTACTGGGACGAAGACGCGCCGCGAAAGATGCCATAGTCGAGCTTCACAACCGGATTGGATGCATTCTGCTGTAGGTGTTGGGTTGGTGACGCGCAAACGGATGGAGCTCCTGCCAGAAAGGCCAGGACAGCAGACGCAGCGGAGAGTAACATCGTAGCGAACGCGTATCGACGAAACTCATGATCTTCGACGGCTGGGTACATCTACATATACTGAATCGGATGCACTAACCCAACGGCCAGATTTAGCCTCTTCTCCATGTCTCCGCAGATTGCAGCATGCTCATTCCCGACCCCGGATTGCGGGGACGCCCCAAAACCAGGATAGCATGGGCTGAGCATCAACAACAAACGTGCCATGAATCGTGAGTTTCGGTATAATTTGCGCCGAGACTTTGCTAAGGAAGTGGGCTATGCCGGGTTCTAGAGATGTTCCGCATGACGTCGATCATGAGTTTTTCCGGAGAGGCTGGAGATAACTAGCACAGATTCGGTGTGGTGGAGATTCGCAACACTTAATAGTTGAACAGCGTTGCCACAAAGGCCTGCTAGTGGTAGTATGGAAGGTCGCGACGGCTCAAGTAGTAGACGAATGTATTGTCTATGCGACTGGTATCTCAATTAATCAACAGACCCCCTATCTTAGACGCCTTCGTCACTCATAAAAGATAAAACTAAGTCATAAACATCATGAAGTCGATCATGCGACTCTATTTCCTTTCTCCCTTCCGCCCAGTCTTCTTCAACCTTGCTGCAAGATCCAGCATACCATCTGCCCAAACCGACATGCTTTTCTCGTCTTTGACCTCATTGCCACAAAAGTCGCGTAAGAACGCGCCCATTTTCTCCTCTCCGTATTTCTCGCCGTACACAACTTCCGCCTTGATATCAACATCAGTCTCAAAGCCCTCCTTACCAAGACCGACGCCGACTTCGAAGGTAGCCTTGATCTTTGTTTGGAGGGTGGGCAGCAACATATTTGTGGAGATTGCCATGCGTTCATCCGAGAGGATTGATTCCTCGGTGATGTAGCTGTGCTCGAGCCACCGAACACCCTCAGCAACAGCAGTTGCGGTGGCCCATGCATTCTTGACAAGAGAAAGGAGTGAGGAGATGCGGGTTTGTGATTGAGGAATGCCATGAAGATGTGCGCGGATGAGCTGTAGGAAAAAGCGCTTGCTTGTTGTCAAGGAGCGAGAGTGCGGTGTCGCCGAATCACCAATGTAGGCAAGCGAGATAGATCCATTGGGTGTATTCTCGCCGGTGGCAAAGACAGATGGTTCGAAGTACAGTTCGAGGTCGTTCAGATGTGTCATCGTGATGCTAGTCGAGGAAGCAGAAGTGATGCACCAGCCGTGAGCCTGCTCAAGAGCGGTGAGCTTGGCTATAGTGCTATGTTAGTAGGACTCTCGTATGCAAGTCAGTTTTGACATACCTCTCAGACTGCTGACTTCACTAGTAGACCAGCCACGGCACTCTTCCCGCACGCGTTCAGCTCCTCTGATCTCTTCAATGCATTCGACTTTACGGTTCTTGGCTGCCTCTATGCGTGTCTCCTTGTCGACGAGCTCCTGTTGAAGTTGGGCCAGAAGCAACTTCTTCTCCTCCAACTCAGCATCCGTAGCCGTGAGCTGCTCTCTTGTTTGCTCGAGCTCTTCTCGGTCACAGCTGTTGAGTTCATCATGACGCTGCTGTAGTTGCTTACATTCAACGGAAAGATGTTCCTTCTTCTCAACTAAAGGCGGAAGAGTATCGTTAAGAAGCTTCTCCTGCTTGTGAAGGGTAGATTCGTCGTGGTTGAAGCAATCCATGGTGTGGAGAAGACCAGCTTTAAGATCGTGCAATAGCGTACTTCGCCATGTGTACCACTCTCCACGAGCTTCGAGGCGCGCGTTCGTCTTGAGATTCTTGAATTGGTTGTCCATGACTTTGCGCTGATCCGGGGGAGCAGTGAGGTACTCGCTGAATAGCAGTGGGTTCTCCTCTAGAACATTGTTTTCCAGAGTACGAACGAAGTGGCGACCGTCTGAGATATACTTCTTCATCTCGTGACACGCATGTTGGTACAATTCGTACTCGGGTAGCGTGCAAGCACCAGCCACGACATAGCGGTCTAGAGATTCTTCTTTCTCCTCTATTTCCACGTCGTGGAATGCGGCAGGGGCAGCAGTATGGCGTCGCTTGGTCGTACTAAGATCCATGAAGCGAATTTTTGTCATGTCAAGAAAATCTTGTAGCGAGATACGCTCGACGTCCGACAAGTCCTCTGCTACATCGTTGTCATCATTGGTCTCTTCTTCCGGCTCTGGATCTGCACCAAATGCAACGCGCTTCATCGGACTCATGCTCTTTCTGGGAGTCGCTTTCTTGGGAGTCGGTGTTGGCTGTTTTTGAGGAGACTGGGACTTCTTTGGCGTCATCCCTCGCTTCACCGGTGATATCAAAGTCTGCTTTCGGGGGGTGGACAATAGCTTGATGTTGTTGCTCAAGAGTGCGGTGCTCTTGAGAGTAGGTTCCTGGCGTGGTGCGTTCAAAGGACTGAACTGTACCGCAGATAAGGAAGAACGGCGTCGGTCCAGGATTGTAGCTGCGATCGGGTCCTCAGGAATTGCCATGGGTGTCCTCTGTGGTGTCGGGTTCGTGGGTGTCGCAAGGGCGTCTTTCTCTTTCAAGGCACTCAGCGGAGTTCGACGCACGAACGGTGACGGCTCAACCTCCTCAATATCTTTTTGCCTTACAATCTCTGGAGTTCCAGGGTCAAGGATCGGATAGGACACCTCTCCTGATGTACTGGGTGTAATCTCCTGTAATACTTGAGGCGCGCTTTCGGCTTCGGCTTTAAGCGTGGAACTTCTTCGACCGGGTGACTTCTTTGGAGATTTTTGCGGAGTCGGCGTCTTCTTTGCTGAAACAGGCGTAGCATCAGCAGGCGTCTCTGGTGATGTTGCTGAACTGTTAGCACGCCTGATGCCTGGCCCAACGATCTTGGTAAATTCCATGGAAAGATCCTCATCCTCGACCTCATCCTCCAGATCCTGCTCTTCTGGTACTTCTTGTACTTCCTGCGCTTGTGGCTTGCCGTTCTTGATACTGCCCACGGCCAGGGTAAAGTCCATAGTCGCATCATCAACAACGCTTGCAATGCTAGCACGCCTGGCGGGCTCAGGCTGAGGCGCTTTCTTAATCGCTCCAATCGCCATCGTAAGGTCCATGGTTGCGTCTTCTTGATCGTGCTCTTCGGATTGTCGACGCTTTCGCAAACTGGTACGCCGACTTCCAGGGCGCTTTGCAGGGCTACCTTGAGAATCATCCAGCAAGGAAACCCTCCTCTTAAGACTTTTCCTCTTGTTCGCTGGTTTGTATGATGCTGCCATTGCCTGTATACTTCCAAGTGGCATGGTCAGATCCATTGTCATGTCGTCGTCAATGTCCGAGTTTGCTGCATCAGAATGTTGTTGCTGCTGCTGCTGCTGCTGCTGCTGTGGTTGTTGCGGTGGCGGCGGTACAATGCGACCCACTGCACGTGTGATGTCCATGCTCATGTCGTCGTCCTCGTCGGCTACCGTGCGTGCTGGAGAGAAAAGAGGGCTTGCGTTCTCCTTGTCGTACTGTGCGACAAAGCTCTTCTTCGCCCAAGGCTTGAAAGATGCAGTCACCTCGTCTTGTGCAATCTCCATAGTCATGTCTCCATCTTCATCATCAAAATCCAGCTTCTGAGTGCCTGCTAGGTTTGCAGCCTCTCGGAGTGCAGCATCTAATCGAGCGCTACTCATGGACGAGTCCTCCACTTCTGGAGAAACGCCCACGTTCTCTGTAGCATCATCAATATCCATATCCTCAGAGTCGCTGCTCTCGTTGTCATTTCTACCAGGCGAAGCATTGTCTCCACTTAGTGGGCTGGAGGAGTAGACGTCGTCTGGGTTGTTGAAGTTCATTGGTGGTATACCTGAACTTCGACGGTTCTTCTTCTGGTGTTGAGCGCGCGCGCTTGCGGGTGACGAACCAGATTCTGGCTGAGGCTCCTCGGCTTGTTCTGGTGGTGTTGACGGAGGTTCGGCGGGGTCTGACGGAGGGGCAGACGATGCCGGTGTCGATGCTTGTGAGACATTTGAGGCTCTGCGTGTCGCCTCCGATGAGGCAGAAGAGGTGGTCGCATCGCGCATATACTCGACTACGTCCCATGTGTGTAAAGTGGCTTCGGGGGCGAACGACACGCGTCGCCTTGCTACGTACTGGTCAGTCATGCCTCGAGACCATTTTCGCACACCCAACACGTACCCAGAGACTTGCGACGGGCTTCGCGCCGTTTCTTCTCGTCCTCATCGTTCGAGGCTAGTATAGACTTGACGGCGGGGATGAAAGCAGACTATTTGGTAAGCAACATACTACTTCGCGATCGCATATGTGAGACATACCTTTCTGCGGTTTCCAGCCGTCTCCTTCAGTGGAGGTGCTTCCAATTCCCCTAAGCCTCCGGGACCGATACTCTTACTACGCGTCTTTTTCTTTGGTGACGGCGCTGATTTCTTCAGAGGTTGTGTAGAGGCCTTGAAAGAGCCATTCGCGATCAGACCATCGGCGATGTTCTCTTTGCCTGCTTGTGCCATGGTGATGTCGTGATTTTGTTTGTGGTGGTGGTGTTCGGGACGGCAGCACTGATGTAAACATGAAAGGCGCCAACCCAAACAATGGGGTACGAGGTCCGTGCACATATCGCCTAGTCCTGTGACCAGCGCTCCCCGCGTCGCGTCTTGCGTGGCATTGCATGGCATTGATGGCTACAAGAACTCGCAGCCGCATTTATTCTATCGTCTAATCAAAGTCTACCTAAACGCCTTGCTTCTGTTTACATAGATGCACTGAAGTAGACTGGATCGATCCCCTGAACCCTAGAACGGCACATCCATGTCCTCAACACTCTCCTCCTCCTTCTTTGCCCCGCCCTCCTGTCCCTGCAGGACCTCTTTGATGAACCCAATCAATGCGTTGACGCTAGCCTTCTGTGTGCTCGGTAGGAAGTGCCCGCCAGGATGATACACAACATACTTCTCCTCGCTGTGTTCACAAGCCTGGACCAAGGCCAAACTCCTTGCTTCCTCAACCACAACATCCTGTGTGCCTAGAAAATGCAACATCGGTGTGCTGATCTTGGGCTCATAGAACGCGTGATACGGGTTCTTCCCACGCGCTGCAAAGCCACTATAACTGATCGCAAACTTCAGCGGCGGATGTATGGTTCCCTCAACATAGCCAGTGTCTTCTTCAAAAGACTCTGGGAACCTCATGCCGCCCTCTGGGTAAAGTTTCTCGAACGCAGCGCGACGGTTAGGTTCGAGTAGACTCGCGACCATGGCTGCCGCGGCACCGCCCTGGGAGAACCCCACAACACCGTCAAAGGGACCTTGTTCCTTCAACACGTTTGCGATATGAGCCAGACCTTGCTCTATGCCTTCATATGTGTATGGTTCCCCTGAACCTTTCCTTCTCCACCATGCCCACGCATCGATCTCCTGCTCCTCTCCATCCTTTCCGTCCTTGCCCTCGCCATCTTTGCCCGTGCTACCTGCTAGGAACGATTCGTCGGCGGGTGTCAACCGTATTGGCGCGGTAGGATACACGAGTTCTATGCCCTTAGGGAAGGCTTTAGATAATGTTTTACGCAAAGCACCCGTCTTCGCCTGGAACAGAGGCCCTGACTGTGTATAGCCGTGAAGCATCAGTAGCTTTATGGGGCGGTTTGGGGGCGGAGCGGCGGCCATAGTGCGCCAATGAGAGCGGACGCGGAAGTTGGCGAGCGTGTAGAGACGAGGGTCTGCGAGGGCAACGAAGTGGCGGAAGCGCATGTACAATATGCGCTAATGGATGAGAGCGTTGTATGGGAAAGCTAGCTTGTGAAGAGTGATGCCGAAGAGCCTGAAGTTTTGGGGTCTCCTTCGGAATGATACCGAATCTCGGGATACCCGGTTGCGTCATACTAGTCCGGTGGAGCCTTCCCTCTTCGACCTCCGGGTACATAGAAAACAGCGCGGCACTTTTTGGACGGTTGAAGTCAAATATAGTTTCCTTGAACATAAAGAGTGTATTTGGTCTTTACACGCGTGATTTATGCACCAATGTCACTCATAGATTGTTAGATTTGGTATGGATCCAATACGGCAAAGGCGCCCAACACACATATCCGCGTATGTCCTCAATCTATGAGATTTGGTGAGCCAGACAACCTGGAACTATCGTCGAAACCAGTGTCTTCAGTAACCTTCATATATTTACCCCATGGGTTTGTCGATTTCGAAGCCCTCGAAGTCCGTGAAGCCACGGAAGACGGTGTCTCCGACCTCCTTGACTTGTTGGCATGGGGGACGAGAAAGTTGTTGACATCGCCAGTATCAAAATGATCGGTATCAGAGACGGAAGAGCTCTTCTTGCCTTGAGTCTCCGTGTCGGAATCCTGGCAGACTGTGGAGTTCTCACCGGAGTATACAGATGAGGCCGAATATAGCGAAGGTGCATGCGTGCCCGGATAAGGACTCATGGGTACCTCGGGATCTTTATCGTAGTGCCATTGCAGCGGCCGGTGCAACCTCCGATGATTGTTCTCTCTCATTAGGAACGAACGTTCGATAAGTGTTTCGATGTCGCTCTGGAGACCATTAGCACAAGTCCTGCAACTGCAAGCATCGTGACCTTACATATGTCAACCTGCCATCAAGAATGTATGTTCCTGCTTCATTGGTTTGATATCCGAAGCCCAATTCCTTGAGTGCGTACTCTTCGATCAAGGCTTTTTGAATAGTGATGGACTCCTTGCCTGGAGCTGTTGTCGAGGGTCGAAATTGCGGCTTATAGTCAGGGCTGAAGAAGTAGGTATGAACGGGCTGACTACCTAGATAGTGAGTCTGTCCTTTTCCTAGAAGATCTCAGTACATTGCCATCGAGAACCAGCGACTAGGCATTACCGGATATACGAGTGTATGTTGGTCTCCAACCGGCTTGCTTCATAGTCAACAAAAGTTCACTGCCTAAACTAAGCGCGGATGACTCCCAGAAGATGGTGCTTCTAATAATCTGATCACCTGCATCTCCGTACTTGTACGGTACGAGCTGACCGAAGTCTAAGGGTCGTGGTTCTTCAGGATCTTCGAAAGCGGAATTGATCCCAAATGCAGCCAGCGAGGTCTGTAACTCGGCTATTTTGTGGGAGTGTCTGTCGGATTGGACGGGGAAAACGATCATCTGCTGAGATCTTGGATCCGTATCTGAGTTGTTTGTGTTGCCCAGTGAAGTACGCGAGGACTGGAGAGAGGCTGTTGAGCTGCGAAAACTATCATGACGGGGGCGTCTTTGAGGCCAGTAATGGTCTGTTGTCCTGTCCGACCTCATTTCCAAGCGCGCAAAGCCATCTTGCAGCGACGAGTAAGACGAGGACAGAGGAGAAGCTCGTTTACTAGTTACGTATTCTGTCACGTCCACACTGCGATTGCCCTCCGCAATGCGAGTGCGACGAACTGGCTGGTCGTTGTCTTGGTCCAACTTTTGCTGCTCTTGCAACCCACGGACTAGATCTTCATACCGCCGTAACTGTAACTTGTGTCCCTCCTCAGTCTTTCTCCTCTCTTCCACTACCATGGCATCAGCTCGTTTCCGTGCTTCCTTTTCTGCTTCCAGTCTTTCAATGTTCAAAGCGATCTGAGCTGCTTCTTTCGCCGACTGTGCTGTTGCGATTTCTTTCGCTGCCGAAGCTCTCACTTCTTCAGCTCGCTTTGCATTCTTTTCTTCTATAGCCTTCTTTTCCTCCTGCCACATAATTTCCATGCGCCTTTGCTCTGCTTTTTGATCCGCTACAAGGCTTTCAAGTCGCTGCATTGTTTCACCGTCTTTTTCACGGGCCTCTTGCAGTTGCTTGACATACACCTCAGTTGCTGCATTAGCTCGTTCTCGTTCGTTTTGAACCTCGCGCTCTTGCAATATTTGCGCCAGTTTCGAAAATGGTAGCTGCTCATACTCGATTCGTGATTCTTGGTTGCGCTTTTCGAGTAGCTTTTCTACCGCAGCGAGAACAGCATTCTCTTTGGCTTCTATCTCAGGCGTCGTAAAACTCTTGTCTACCGATTGAGCTGGATTTGGTGGAAGTGAAGGTGGAGGTGGAGGTGAAGGTGGACTTTGGGCAGTGGCTGGTGGAGGACTTGGAGGAGGCGATGAGTATGACCAGTGTCGACCAGCTGATACATATGCTTGTTTCGGTGGTTCTTGATGCATTGGTGGAACTGGTGGCCTTTGTACCGAGTCTCGCCAAGGTGGCATAAATCCATAACTGACAGGTGGCGGGTGGTAGCCAGGTGCGTAAGGACTGAAATAACCTGAGGTGGCTTTATTATAGTTGAAGTCATCATTCGGTGGGCTTGAAACTGAGTCCGTTTGGTCGCTATGAATCGTATGAACTCTGGATGTAGGCCTTCTGACATCGGCATCTACAGATCGCGGTTTATCTTTATACCTCCTCTGTCTAAGCGGACGTGGAGTGGGCCGGCTCATCGGTGGCGTTGCATCCTGCCATTTCACATGTGACTCCTCAGCATTCCGCTTGGACCTACCGTCGGTGTAAGTTGGTGAGTATCCATCTGTATCCGCCCATGGGTTGGTACGATCAGAAGACTTTGTGTTCCGTTTTCGGGCGCGTTGAACATTGTCACGGAAATTCCACGTCGGTACATTGACACCGACAGTACTGTCCTCTTCGGCGCTCTGGAACTCTTCGTCATCGGATCTGACAGGTGCATTCTGCTGTTCCCACTGAGCAAAAGATAGCTCGTCCTCCTTTCTTGCCTCTTCCACCATCCTCAGTACTCCTTCCCTCCAGTCATCGCCATCATGGCGGGTGGAGCTAAGGCTTATTTGGTCGGTCGTGAGCGTCGTCCATGAAGAGAGTAATCTGTCTACTACTAGGGCAGGCTCTGTTTGTCTGCCCCAAACAATCAAGGCTTTTTCATCTGGACCTGACGATCGCCTGTTATTCTGAATGCCGTCTTCAGAAGAAGAGGAGTAAGCGCTTCTCGCAGTTGTCTCCGTGCTTTCATCGGTGACGGATGCTTGATGGAGCCGACGTGTTCGCGGGTTCGGCACTGGTGGAGGATCTGCGTCATCTGAGCTAAACACGAAATGGTAGAGCCATGTAGCAGTGTCAAAGGACCCTTCTTTCCAAACATCTATTTCTGCAGTGGTGTAGTGTCGTTTGGCAGTCTCGGAATCATCTTCTTCCTGTTGCGCACTCTCAACCACTTGCCGGTTTGCCTGGACAGCACTTTCCACAATCTTACGGAACCGATTGAACTTTGAGATGGGTCGGGCTTGGGCGTCGGGGTCCAGCTCGGAGTATCTGACCGTGTAAGCAATCCAAACCCTTCGACAGCATCGTAGATAGTGCTTACTCTGGTGGTCGAACAACCTCTTCTCTTGCAAGACGAACGATGTTCAATTCCAGAATCAGGGCGGTCTTGATGCCTTCGACCTTCTTGAGTAGACCTTTCGCCTTGGGCTTGTTTATCAACCACTTCAGACCTGCTAGTTTTTGAGGCGTATCTATGAGTTTTTTTATCTCCGCATCTACTTGCTTGCACCGCAGTATGATCGTTTGAGTGTTTCTGAAAAGTGCAGGCTTGCACAAAGTTTGATGAGCACGGATGATATCTGCGAGCGTTTGCAAACTTTCCGCGAGTAAGGATATCTCCTCCGCTGCTCTTGTTAAGCTGAATGTCAATCGAATACACGAAGAGGCCGCGTACCGATTTCTGCTATCTCTCGGGGTGCATTCTTGAGTGTCTGAACTACGCTGAAGAGAGCGAGCGAAAGTTGCGCTGCACTTGCGCCAACGGTGAGTGCGGACGCGATGATGCTAAGGGGATCTGCCATTTGAAAATGAACGATGCGAACGACTGTTCAGTGGATGCGGGGAGCGACGTGCTAGCTATGGAAACATGAAAAGGTAGCCTTGTGGCTTACACAGCCTCCGAAATGCTCCTCTGCAGTATTACATAGCCTCGCCGGTCCGCTGCAGGCTGACAGCCAGCAATTGGCTATTGTGCCATGCAGACTACACTTTCAAGCATTGATTGCATTCAACTGTGGCGGCTGAACGCGTGGGGGCCAGAAAGTGCTGCAAGCTGCGTACGGTTATGCAGGTAGAGTGGATATTTAGCGATAACCTTCGGCTTACAGAGACCCCAGATGCACCATGGGTGAGCGGGTGGATCCTCAATCCATGTTCAGAATGGGGTTGAACGTTGAAGCGATATGGTCATATCTAGTCCAGTGGTCGATGACTTGATCTCGGTATTGAAGCACTGGAGGTAACATAAGGCTGTTGAGACATTGTGACTACTATGGCTAAGAAGTTAATCATCCCGGGATTCGTGTCAATTAGCTGATGACGATTCATATGTTCTGCTCAGGGTTTCTCGATATGTCTGTAGTGCTGCGCTACTCGCCAGATAGCGCAATCAAATACTGAGTGGTCATGGTGGCTTGTTGGGGTGTGTAAGGCTGACAGTGAGACGCGATGTGTGATAATGCGGGATGTCTGAGTGGCTAGCGCGCCCCAGCTCTTGGCAGTGCGTACATGCGTCCAAAAGTTATCACCTCACGCCGACTGCCCGCTACAGCTCAACCCTATGCCGCCATGAGCTTTCGACCGATACTGCCCCGGCCAATCGCAGTACGGGACACGAACAAACTATGTCTGCGATGTTGGCGAAGACTCGCAAAG